CCACCCGCCCAGGCATGAGCTGCACGTGTTGGTGGATGAGATCTACATGCTGTCCGTGTTTGAGGAGTCAGTTAGGCATCACAGCGTCCTAGGCCTGGAAAGGTGAGGCTGCCCCACCAGAGCTGACGTTGCCACCACCGCCCCCGCCCCCAGTCCACCCATGGTACCCTGGCCCCTCTGTGGCTCTGCCCATAGGACATGGCCTCCCCGAGGGTGATTTCTCTTCCATCCAGCTGATCCCACTGTCCTCAGAGCCCCTAATGAGAAGATGAGAGAGTTGGGCCATATCAGTGGTTTTCCAATTGTTCGTGGGGTTTCTGAGAGCTCCAAGGAGGATTCCTGGAAAAGTGGGTGGGAATCTGGCCTTTGCTGTTTTCTTCATCTCTCTAGTAGCTCCGGCTTCATTATTTCATTTATTCATTCACTCACTCATTCAGCAAATATTCTGGAGCCCCTTGCACGTGCCACACACTTCCGGCTATTTGGGCTTTTTTATTAGAATTAGTTTGAGCCAAGAATCTGGTCAAAACACCTTCAGAAACACCTGGACCAGGTCATCTATAAAGTGTGAATCTGGCGTTCAGAGATTCTAATGCTCTATCTCACATAATCTCCCAACAACCCTTTCAGCCCTGCTAAGTCCTTCCTCTCAGGTAACCCTCCCGAAGATCTGCCAAGTACATGAAGCATGGGCTCTTGCTCCCCTTCACTTCTGGATTAGAAAAGTGAGACACACGGAAGTAGTGACTTGTCCTCTACTCTGAGCCAGACACTGCGAGAGGCTGGGGATACAACGATGAACGAGGAAGACATAGGCCCTTTCTATGTGGAACTTTTATTTCTAGCCAGAAAAGAAAAAGGCATTTTAGCAGCTAAATATACAGATAGTCATTTGATTTAAGTGCTAAAAAGAGAAGTTTCTTAGGGAGCCAGGAGAGGATCGGCTTAGGGTACCTGGTTGGCCTGGTCCACTGGGAGGTGGTCAGAGGTCACTTGAGCTATGCTTTAAATCAAATATTTTAAGATCTAATGGCAAATATTTTAGGCTTCACAGGCCATATGGTCTCTGTGTCATTGTGGCACCAAAGCAGCATAGACAGTATGTACATGAAAGTGTGGCAGTGTTTATTTACAAAAACAGGCAGCAGGCCGGATTGGCCTGCAGGCTATACTTTGCTGACTCTTGCTCTAAAGAATGTGTGGGAATTGGTGATTCAAGAGGTGAAACCAGGGCTTGACCCAGAACCAGATTCAACCGTTCAACCAAACGAGTGGGCTCCTGCGAGTCTGTCGCCTCTGTTTCTACGTCGTGCTCTCTGCAGGCTGCCTGACCCCCAGAGGACCCACATGATGTGGTCCACCAGCAAGGTGGGTTCCTGGCTGGCCTCGAGGGTGGCGGGGAGGTGGAGGGCAGAGAGATGGGTGGTACTGGCTCCCTCCGTGGAGGGCTGGCCACCCCCTTGGGTGCCTCTCTCCTGCAGGACTTCGGGATGTCCGGGCTCCGCTTCGGCACGCTGTACACGGAAAACAAGGAAGTGGCCACTGCAGTGGCTTCCCTCTGCCGCTATCACGGCCTCAGTGGCCTGGTCCAGTACCAGATGGCACAGCTGCTCCGGGACCATGGTGACTGCCTGGGCCTGGTCACCTGAGAATCCGGGAGGGTCGTAGTCAGTCTGGGACTGGCCAGGGATCAAGGATGCTTCAAGCACAAGAAGAATTTAGGGTAGTATCTGAGAGTTCCAGCCATGGGCCCAGGCCAAGTTCATACCCAAATCAGTTACATCCTGGCTGCATGGCACATCCCTTCACTTCCCCGAGCCTCAGTTTACTCATCTGTCAAACAGGGATTGTAACGGTACCTGTCTCGTAGGGTTAATAACTGTGATTGGTCATTCATTTAGAATTGTACCTGGCATAGAATAGGCATGGGTCAGTGTGAACTCCTTATTATTAGCTCTGAATACTTAAAAAAGAGCAGATGCTACTAAGGAAAAATGTTCTAATGGAACACTCTCTTTATGCAGATCTATTCTGTTCCCAGGTTCAGACAGCAAGTTTAGATAGCAAAGGGGACCTGTAATTGCCACCCTTTGTTGAGCCCTGCCAGATGTTCTCAATGCATCATTTCATTTGTCCCTCTCCAGAATCTTAGGAAGTAGGTATTCCTGTATTTTCCCCATTGTTTTTATTTATGAGGAAAATGAGGACCAAATACTGCATACCTGCTGTAATAGCAAAAACTTTTAAAATAGTAACAGCATCAAGTGTTGGCAAGGATGCAGAGCAGCTGGAACGCTCCTGCACTACTGGCGGGAATGTATAAAGTTAAGCACACGCTAAATGGCCCAGCAGTGCCACTCCTCGATATTTCCCCTTATGGTCACACAAAATCCTCTATGTGAGTGTTCATAGCTGCTCTATTCACCATCACCCAAACTGGAAACAACCCAAATGTCCTTTTCAGCATTTGGGACTCACAGGGCAGAGTGCAAGGTTGATGAGAGACTTATCTTTGGGCTTCTCTCTCACCCAAACAGACTGGATCAACCAGGTGTACCTGCCAGAGAGCCACGCCCGGCTCAAGGCCGCCCACGCCTATGTCTCTGGAGAGCTCAGGGCCCTGGGGATCCCTTTCCTGAGCCGTGGGGCAGGCTTCTTCATCTGGGTTGATTTGAGGAAGGTAACACAGGTGGAGCTGCAGATGGGGACGGAGTTTAAGCCTCCCTCCAGCAGGTGAGGGACAAGGGCATCTTCCTCAGCATCCTGAGTCCCTTCTACCCTCCCAGTATCTGCCTGAGCTCACCTTTGAGGGGGAAATGCTGCTTTGGCGCAAGTTTTTGGACAACAAGGTGCTGCTGTCAGCCGGCAAGGCCTTTGAGTGTAAAGAGCCCGGGTGGTTCCGCCTGATCTTCTCAGACAAGGCCCACCGGCTTCGCCTGGGTGAGCAGTCTGCCTTCCCAGCCCCCTCCTTGCTGTCCCCTTCCTTCTGGCCCCACGTGTGGCCTCAGCCACCTCAGCTTGTTCATCCCTACCCACCCAGCCATCAGTGCTGACAGGGCCCTCACTTCCCCTTCCCAGGGATGCAGAGGGTCCGGCAGGTGCTTGAGAGCCAATCCCAGAAGGCAGAAGACCCCTCTTCCTGTCAGACCCAAGAGCCCAGAGGCTAGCACAGGTGAGCTGGTCATTGCCTCGTGGCCGCTGGGCCTGGCAGCCACTGCCGACTTGGGTCTTCAGAGCTGCAAAGACTGACTATGAATGAGCCATTTGCCAGGAAGATTGCCTCGCCCGTGAAGAAGAATGGTTTGTTCCTTGCTTCTTTTGGTGGGACTGGGAGACTCCTTAAGTTGTGGCTCGACCTGACCATTCCCCTCCCCCTCTATTAAACAAAACTGGGAGAAACCAGAAGCCTCTGTTATGAGTGATTTACAGAATGGAGGAGTCGTGACTGCCCTCAGCCCCCTGCAGACATGAAGACGAACAACCTGTACCTCCTTTTTAGTAGCACTTTTGTTCTTCCTCCTTTGCTGCCAGGGAAACAAGTCTAAGGAACAACACATGAGGAAGTATGCCCCCCAAATAAAAAAGAGTGATAATTTCCAAACTACCAGGAGAAAGGAGTTAATTCTACATATTCACATTGTGTTCTACACACTTCGGATGTGTGGGCCTAATCACACCTACCTGGGGCCTGAGACAGGCGAACAAGACCATGTGAGAGTCAGGAGGGGCTCCTCTGACTCTGAGATGCTCTTCTTCCTCTTCTTTCCTGGGAAGAAGCCACCTTCACTGACGATCCCAAACCACAGTGACTTAGTCATGACTGTGGGGGGAAGATATGGGGCTGGACCCTGAACCGAGGCTGCTGTGGAGACCAGCTGACCCAGGCTGGCCTTTCTATCCTAAGAATGCAAAAGGCTGCCCACCGCATTCCCAGGGGTGCTTTAGTTCAGACTCAAAGATGCTTTCTGATCTGACCTTAAAGCCATCTGTTAAAGACCCTTCTCTGGTGCTGACACTCCTGTCTCTTTCCTTGTTCCTCTTTTAAGTGACTGTGGAATCGGTGTTTCCTTTCTATTAACCACGTTGTTTGGTTTAGAATTTGTTTTCCTTTTTCTTTCTGCCTTTCATCCATTCATTCCTCTTCCCTGTCTTTTCTTGAATACCATCTATGTGCCAGATGCTATGCTGGGTTAATTACATGTATTATTTCTAACTCAACAACTCTGGGAAGCTGACATTATTATCCCTCCTTTTGGAGATGAGGAAACTGAGTCTCAACGAAACGGAATGATAGTCTCAAAGTCACGTAACTAAAATGTATCAGAGCCAGGAATCAAAGTGAGGTTGGTCTGGTTCAAAATCCTGTGCTGGTTGCACTCAGATGATGCCACTTTCCTCGGAAGCCACACCCTTTCTAACTTCTACTTCCATGTTTCCTGACCCACTGGATAAGCGGGTCTTGTGCCATCTTTGCTTTGCCCTGTACTTTTCGAGGGAGTAATGTAACATCTTTCTACAGCCTCTCCTCTATTAAGCACTGAGTACTAGGACACTTTTCTACCTTCTCGGAGATTTCAGGTAGGTCCTGGCTCCTATTTTCTTTCCCACTCTTCTCTGCAGTCATCCTCTTCTTTAGCATCTTGTAGTTTCTGATATCACAGCTTCTGTACCTTCTCACCTCTAATTACGTGCATGGTTTCTACCCCTAGAAATGTAATCATACTGTTTTAGCCACACTGGATTAAAAAAACATTTGCTCTTTCTGATCGCTGCTGCTTCTTGATCACATCTGTGTCTTTGCTCATGTCTTTTTCCTGTGCTTCGATTGCCCTATTTACCTCTCTACTTGTCAAAATCCTAGATATCCTCCAGGACCAGCAAAGATATCAGCTCTTGCATGAAATATTCCTACATCTTTCCAACTGGGCGTGATTGCTTTCTCTTTTGAGCCATTGTGGCATTTTCTTTATGTTCTCTGCCACTTCCGCCCTCTTCTTTGGCTAATCTTACTTGTGCATTTGTCTTCTTTCTGTTGAGCTCCTCTAGCGTCTGGGCATTGTTTTGTATTCACTCAGAAAATACTCACTGAGCACTTACTATGTTCCAGGCACTATGCATGCCTGGGGTTGTAAAGTGAATAAGATAGGTCCCTCAAAGGCTGTGCCTGACATATGTCTTTAATGCAGGAAGTACTCATTTAATTAAAGAATGAATGGTTAATTAGAAACATACACATATACGTTTAATACAGAAAAAGACAAGGAAGCAAAATGCTCTCCAGTTCTCAAATGGGGTTTATGTGCGCTCAATTTCCAATCATTTTTGTGTGCGTGGCAGGCGGGGAGAATGTGAATTTTGAGGGCAGAGCAACGCTTTTCTGGATGTGGAGACACAGGATGTGGGTCTCCTATCTCCGGAATACCCTCGTCCCAATCTCCCTGGATCTGTGACAAGCGGACAGTAACTCACAAGAATATTTCTGAAATCGCTGTTGCTGCTGGAAGCCCCATGGATAGTTAAGCTGTAAGTGTCAACTTCCACCAGATGGCGCTAAGGTATAGTTTGGACGAGAAGTGAATTTGGATTCTGCAGCCAGTACCAAGAAATTGCATAGGCTCACTGCGGTCGTTTCATTAACCTCAGTAACATTATGCTGACTTTTGATTAAAAATGTTTAGGGTTCACTTAATATGACAGGATTTTACTGTGCATCTGGAAGGCTAGATCATGTAAATAATGCAGAAACAAAAATAAATCTCTCTCCCCCATTTCTGCCTCCACAATTTCTATCCCCAAATCTTAAGTGGATTTTTCTTGGATTCTTTCCAGAAAAAATATTATACAGATGCCTGAATATAAGCACGTACACATATATTTTATCTCTCCCGTTTGTCTGTGTAGCTATTTTTTTTTACATAAAAGAGATCATACTTGCACAATTTTAGTCCATGCTTTCATATGAACATATCTTGAAGATATTTCCATACCAACATATATATGCATTCTTGCATTATTCCATTCTAATCATGTTTCATAATTTATTTGGGCTGTGTCCAGCTTTCCTATTATTAAAAACAGAACTGTAATGAATATTTTTGATAAGCATTGTTGAGAATATTTGTAGGGTAAACTCCATACAGAGGGGATTACTGGGGGAAACTTACCGCATTTTACATTTGATGGGTACTGCCAAATTGCCCTACAGAAATGTTTGCACGCTCACCAGTACTGATTATAATAAAACATTTACATTTTTGTCGGTTTTATAACGGTTTTATAAGTGAAGCATACTGCCTCGTTGTTTCGGTCTGTAGTTTGTTATGAACGAGGCTTCTCAGCTTTGAATTGAGTTTCACCGTGGACCCTGAGCTTGGCACGTCTGCTTGGAGAAACCCTTAAGTGGTGTCCAGACTCCTCCTGTCCAGCAGGGGGCGCAGGGCCGGACCGCTCCCGCATGCGCAGTGCGCTCGGTGTCAGACGCCGAGCCCGGTCGCAGGGGCCGAATTCCCCGCTCGCTCGCTGGCTCGCTCGGCCCCGGCGCGGGCGGTGGCGGCTGCCGACTCGCCGCAGTCTTACCCCGGCAGCCGTGGCCCGCGCCCTGCGGCATGAGCCAGTGACCGAGCGCGGGCAGGAGCGGGACGCAGCCGTGGCCGAGGTAAGCGCAGCGCGGGAAGGCCGGTGGGCACCGAGGTGCAGGCTCGGGCCTCCCCGGGCCGCGGCAGAGTCCGGCCCTGGGCAGCGGGGAAGCACTGGCGGTGCGGAGGCCCGAAGGCTGGGAGAGATGCCCCAGACCCCCGCGGGGCCGCTCTCGATGATTTACCACTTTGGGAGTAGTTCGATTGCCGCACGGCCTTCTTCACCTGGCCAACCCCCGCGCTTGGTTCCCACCTGTATCTCCTGTCCACTCCTATCGCCTGTCCACTCCTTTCATTTTTCCCGGGACCCTGCAGCTTCCTTTTCCCGCAGTGCCCACCCTCCGCCGCGACCTCTCCCACCTCCTTCCCGTAAGCTGCAGGCATCTGTTCCCTCCCACAGGGATTTCTTGTGCCCTGGGCACTCTGGTGGCCTATGGCATCCTGGGCAGTGCCGGATGCCTGGGGCAGGGTTTAGTGACCCAGCCAGCTCCGAGAGAGGAGTTGGTGGGGAAGATGGCCACGGGTGTCTTGGCCCTGAGCATGGACTTGAAGCTCAGGGGCTTTTGGAGTTTTCCTACGGGCGGTGGGAACTAGATCTACGTCTACGGTTTTGGGACTCAAATAATTGCTTAGGCCAGTTTTAAATTCTAAGGCAATTGAGTGCTCTAAAGACAAACTGGAGGTAGCTTGTAAATTTCAGAGCTCACAAGTTATTCACAGTAATACAATATATGATTCAGCTTTCATCATTTCTCACTTCCTCTGACTTAAACCTCGTGGTTGTATATGCTGGTGTGAATGGATTAGATTTTTGGTAAGTTACTCTGGCATTGCTAATTGAGGAGTGAAAAAGGTTGTTCTAATCCAGGCTTTTAAAGGTAATCAAGAGAGGCAGCTTCACATGTGAAGAGCCCAGGCTCCAGGCCCAGAGTGCTGTCCTCCACATCCTAGCATTGGCATTTTCTAGTTATGTGCCATTGGGCAAATTACTTAACCTTGCTGTTGCACTTTCTCTGTCTATAAAATGAGGGTAATAACAGCTTGTCACATGATACTGTTAAGAAAATTAACTAAGTTAATACAAAGTGCTTAAAACATCCTGGCACAAAGGGGCACAGTTTTTTGTTTGTTTGTTTGTTTTGTTTTAATTGGAAACTATTTTTAGGGCTGATTAGCCATAATATAACTTTAACTATAAAGAACTCTATCAGGTAAGACAATGAATTTCAGACTGTTCTGCTTTTGCTAACATTTGGTTCCTTTGTTTTTAGGCACAGTTGGGTTAAATTTTAGTGTAGCAGTGACCCTGGGTGTTCAGCTATGAGGGCTTTTCTAAAAAAGGTTAAGATAAAAGACTATGACTCAAAACATTGGACTAAGTGAATTGGATTCAGCCTAAAGCACCAAGGAAAGGTTATTCAGGCAAATTTTAGGAATAAATAATTCCAGGAACAGAAAAATGCATCTCATCTGGACAGGAGAGTGGGGTTAAAAGATTTTTCCAGTGACTCAGTGCTTGACAGCCAGCCAGAGGATTCCAGTAATTTGCAGGGACAGGTTTGATGCATTTCGAGGAGGATGAAGTTTGTAGGGCTTTGTTGTGAAATTCTTGTTTCGATCCAGGTAATTGTATTATATGGGACAAACATTCATTAGTAGGCGATTCCTTTTGGTCTGTCCTCTTCAGGGAAGCTCATTGCTAGGGGAGAGGAGAGTACTTAGGGTACAGGAAAATCAGTTTGTGGAAGTACCTAGCCATCTTCCCCACCTTCGGAAACTATAATTCAAGAAGGAAAATAATCAGAGTTATCACCATATAATAACTCAAAACTTGGACCCTGAACAGTGTGTACACTGATGGAACTGGGAAAGGTGGAGACATTGATTCAACAGACATTTATGGTTACATGAAATGAGTCCTAGACACGGTGTTAGATGTTGGGAATCCTGAACAGAGATGAAAAACTCT